ATTTAGAATAGTTTTTTTTTTAAATCTCCTTTCTCCATCAATTCAGAAATCTCCCCCACTCTCGTCCTTGGCAGGGTGTCTCCATTTCTGCATTAAATTTGTGGCGGATATCTTAGTCCCCAGTGGAAAAATCTGTCAGTATGTTGTTGTACCATCCAAAAAGTTTTCTTTTGTGGTATATAGTAACCATTTGAGGGGCTTAACACATTTGTGAAGATCGAGTTTCAGGGTGAAACTAAATTAACTGATTTAATGATTTGTTGTTTTTAAATGTTAAAAAAGATTTTGGAGAATGCCAGCTACAATATCGCAGAGCCCAAGGAGACGTCCCCAAACTGGGTTTTGGACTGTTGGTTGGAAAAAACAAGCAAAGATATTCAACTTAAAAGAACATTAATCAGAACCATATAGTATGTTTATATGTATTTTTCTTTAAAATATCACTTAAAACGATCAATCAAAATTAGGGATGCACCGATTGTGAGATTTTGGGGCGATACCGTTGTTTAAAATAACAATTTTGCTGATAGCCGATGCCAATAAAAGTGTTTTTCTGTTATTAATTCACTCTTTTGTGCCACAAAACAAAGATATTTAGAAAGATCAGCATCTCAGCCTTGTTGCAGTCTATATCTGCAGAGCTGAGCAGGTACGTTTCATGTAGTTTGTGCCAGTGCTGGAAAAACAGAGGTGATTACTTCTCCAACGTCCGAGTTGGAAACAACCAACACAACATTTATCCAGCACAAAACTGATGCAACACCAGCAGATAAACACCAACAGTCAACAAAGTGAATATCACCTGATACGATCCCTAATCAGAACAGTTGATAATCGACAATATACAACAACTTCGCCAAGTCAATTATCCAAAATTGTCCGTTGTAAACATCCATCGCAGCAGCATCCAGACTTGTGCCACATTTTATATCTTTACTGTATTTGGCAGCTTCCCACTTATACACACTGTTCACATCAACATCCAAGTGTTAATTACATAAGAGAGAAAACACTTTTCTGAAACCTCTGATATATTCAACTTGGCGCCTAACGCTGGAGAAGTGCCTAAAAATAATTTTTTAAAAAGCAAGCAAGCATGGATGCACCTCTAATCACATTTGCTGTAGTGTCTGGTGTGAGCGTATATATGGACGTTACACAGATGAACTTGAGCCTGTAGCTCACACAGCCCTCGAGCAGCGTTTCCTTTCTGTGGCGGCAGCAGCAGCAGCAGCAGCAGCAGCAGCAGCAGTGTGACTGCCTCGACTCCTCATCATCTCATATCCGCTCCCAAAGTGTGTTACTCCATCGCCCGACACCATTCGCGCGTAAGCGCCACACTATACGCTGCACTGGCCTCCAGGTCCACTCCCTGCCCCCCTCCATCACCCTCCACCCCCTCAAATGTAGGTCACATACAGATGCTGTAGGAGTATTTGTTTGCCTGGGTTGTCACCTCTCATTACTCCCCCATCACCCAACATCTGCAACGTGGGGTCATGAACAAGGCTACTTCTTAATGCATGCTTGCTTTTTTTTTTTTTTTTTTTACTACAGCCGAGTCTACGTTCACACAACGATGGCTAAAATGTAACATGGGGGCGATGGATTATTAATGCAGAGGTGACGGTGTTGTGGAAAGCAGAGCGTGCTGTGCAGCATCAAAAAAAGAAAAGAAAGAGGTTTGCTGAAGCTGTAATGTATTCTGCTCAGAAACCCTCCTCTTTTTTTAAAGGGAATTTATCACCTGTAAAGATCTGGGTGAATTATTTGACTGTCAAACTGCATTACCATACTTCAATGACAAGCAGGGAACATTTAGAGAGAACATCTTGACTGGAAATGCAGCCGCCTGCACACATTGTACATTCTCTCTCTCTCTCTCTCTCTCTCTCTCTCTCTCTCTCTCTCTCTCTCTCTCTCTCTCTGTCTAGATGGGGGGTAGATATTTCCCTCAGGGGCTTAAGAGTTATTAGAGTCATTACTGTGACCTTTCTTTGCCCCTCAGTGTCCACTGAACCCAGTCTGACTTGTTCAGCGGGGGGGAGTGAGGGTGTTAGCGTGGCTGTCACAGCATCTCTTGGAGGGAGAAGACACACTTTCCAGTCAGCTGGGTCAAGCCTGTTCATAATAATGACCGGCCGCGATCACCAGGAGGTTAACACATGTTAGCGTACTGCACTTATACATATTTATCAAGCAGGCTGTGCCCATTTCTGCTCGGAGCTGTTGCATGTAAGTGGGATTTGTTTCGGGGGGTTTTTCATTATAAAATAAGGAAATCTCGAGCTGGGTAAATTGGTGCAATTAAAAAGAAGCTGAATTAGCTGTACTGAACTTAAAAACCTGATGATTGTTAGGCAGGTTCTGGAGTTATAATGAGGGTCTTTTTCTCTATGATTTCTGAGCGGATGTATGGACGTTTACTTGTGATGGACATCAGAGATAATCATATCCTCAGGAAGTAAATGTTTGGGATGTTCCTGGCGACTAATTTCCCTCGTTGATTACACGTGAATTTGCATCCAGACCAGTCTAAAAGTAAGAAAAACACTTGGAAAATTGAGCTTCAACAGCCATTTGAAAGCGTTATTAATCAAAAAATAATTAATTAATAGTCCAAGCAGGATCACAGCCTCTCTGGGTTGGGGACAGTAAACAATCTCGTTTTACTGAGGGTGGCTGACGTTATCAGAGATGGTGCCAGCAGCTGTCCACCATGCTCGAATGGAGTTAAATGACTATTTTGATTTTCTACATCCAAGCTTCCACCTCCCCCCCCCACTTTCCCCCTCGCTGGTTTATATCCGGGCGCAGGGAGAGTGGGGAGCTGCTGTGCTGTGACTGCCTGCCGGAGCTGCTCCCGCTAGTGGCCTACATTAATAAAATATTAATAATGGTTTAATCGACTAGTATTTCTCTAACCTACTCGTGTGGGGAAGCCACATATCATGTCTGTTTGTTTTGGATTTAACTTGAGTTATAACTGATACGCATGCAAATTGCAGCAGTGATGCTTTTTAAGTACCTTAACTGCCTCAAGGAGCTTCTGCTGCAGCTTCCAAATGTTGATCGGCAGCCAAATATATCTACAATAACCAACTTCCTGTTGTTTTTACAACATCGACACTGCTCTTGGAAACCGCAGCTTTATTAGCTGCAGAGAGATGACAGGAAATGAGATCGAAAACAACTTGAAAAAATATTGTGGTTCATGGTTGGCACCCTTTTTATGCACCTTCTTTGCTCCTACAGTTGGATGTCTGAGCTTCACTGTGCAGAATGATGGGTTTTAAGGGGGCGGGGCCTACGGGCCTATAGTCAGGAAGTCAATCCTGGTCCATGCAACGTATACACGTGTGCACATACACTGAGAATGGAGATTTACAGTGAAGTAGGAGACAGCAGGAAAACTTAAGATATGAACAACATTAGCATATTCACAGATATTGTCATTTTTGATGAGGTAGAAGGGAGTAGGTGAGTTTTTATGGGTTTAAAGGTGGAAATTATACTTTTGTGGGAAGAAATCAACAAAAGTTTGTTCTAATTCTGTTCTAATGTTTTTGATGTTGTTTTTTTGTACAACTCGGGTCCAATATTTGTCGTTTCGGCCTCCATCATCTGGGAACACGGTGATGTTGCTGAAACCAGCAGCCAGTCAGGTTGAAAATAAACTCAACCCCAAGTTAGACACACTTAAATGTGGAAGAGAAAACAGCCCAAACTGTCTGTTGGAAGCATCCATCACACAGACTGGTTCAGCTTTGACCTCCTGTACTTTTGCCATGTTTCTGTCATACGGGAGGTACCATAATTACAAGTTTATGATATATACCATACCACATACCATTCACGTCGACATCCAAAGAGGACAGGGCGATAAAATAAGAGCTCGCATTTTCCAAGTTTTTGGACAATGTATGATTCTCATCTTATTGTTTGTTTGGGTTTTTTTTGCACAATGCAGAAAAACATTATTGAAACGTGTTTTTTGTACACATTTCACAAATACAAATACATATTTTAATTACAATTAGACTGTACTACAGGAAGTGCCTTTAAAAAGCAGTCTAACATGAATGAATCCCATCAGTTTAAGCCCTACTTTTATGATAATTTAACCCAATTTGAATAGATATAGTGCTATATTATCAATGCACAGTGTTTTCTAACTCTGACACTGCGTTTCTTCCCTGTTGCGCTTCAGAAATTCACTTACTGAGCACAATGTTTTTACTACAAAAGCTCCAAACTCCTTTACACAACAGGGAGAAAATGTCACCTGGAATAACCTGTTCAACAAAAATTGGGAGCATTCAGTGTTCATCAGTGTCTGCCGACGGTTTTCTGTCTCGTCCGTCAATCGTGTCACTGCTCGCTTGTTCCTGATATAACGCTGATAGGGCAGGTTTTAATGTTGTGTGGCAGCCGCTGCTCCCATCTTTTGTGTTAAGGCTTTTTTATTGTATAGACTATAATTCAGTAATTCATGCGTGTGTGTGTGTGTGTGTGTGTGTGTGTGTGCACGCATGTGAACATTGTGGTATGATGTCAAAAGAGAGCCTGGAAATAATCATTAAAACATAGTTATTTATTTTGTTTCTGTGTGACGTTTCGTACATTTATTGGCTGCATGCAGGAGAAATGATGAAATCCAAATTGTGGTATCTCAGAAAGTAATATGAGTGGATGGCAAAAATGAGACTCTGAAATGGATTTCAGTTTTGTGGTCGAACCAAACTAAGACCAGCTTCCCAAAATAGCTCAAAGTTGAATATTTAACAGCCCCTGTTTTCCCTTTTTTTCTCGCCAACAACTGTCCATCCCATCGCCACCGTCTCCTCGTCAGCACATACCCCGAAGGCTCTTTGTGATTTGGAAAATAACTTTCTCTGCTGTGGTTTCTCAGTTACTTTTTTTTTCCTTCTTCCAACTCCAGTGAAGTCATACCTCGTCCTCCTCTCTCATGCATCACTGATGTTTCTTTGTCGTTGCAGAGGCTCGCGGCCAGAAGCACAGCCTGCAGACGGCGCAGAACCTCCTGCAGGAGGAGGTTGCACGTGCAGAGGAGCATTCAGAGGTAACAAACAACAACAACAACATAAAAAAAGCTCCTAAAATTTTACTATTTTCTCTTGTTCTTGCTGAGAAATCACAGTGTTACATCACTTTGGCAAGCACGGTTTGTGGAGGATTCTTGAAAAGCAGTCTAGCTGACAGCCCACCCACTTCTTCTGCAATCTGATCTCTAAAGACATGAGGCATATACATACAGTGAGCAATCCACCAACATCTGAGAGCGACTAAAACCCACTTCCACCACGGCCGCCTCTGCAGAAAGCTCTCCACATACCCGTACGAGTGTTCGGCCAATCCCGCGTTCAGATTTAACAGCTTTGAAGAAAGGGGCTTAAATCTTTTTTTCTTTTGTCTAAATTAAAGAAATCTTGCGAGTCCATTTCGTCTGATTTATATAGACATCATAGGGAAGAGACATTATGAAAACGTGGGCGGGTTTGAGATGGATATTAACATACTGTAGGTGATTAAGGCTCCTGCTTGGCTGCACGCATCAAGAAGCCAAACCCAAGTGGGTCGCTGTACTGTGAAAGCACCCACTGACTCCTACTAAAAAATATTAACGTTATATGAGAAGTGATAATGGATATATTGTATAATAATAATAATTTTGCAAAACAAAGTTACAAAGTGCTTTGCATAGTTGAACCAGGATTAAAACAAATGAAATCAGACTTGAATCAGACAGAATAAAAACATTAATAAAATACCAATTTTATATATAAGAAAAACCTTTCTTTTACACAATATAAATGAACATTTTTAGTAAAATCATATGGATGTAAAATAGGAGGATTTGTTTCACCGAGGATGTGCCACTGACAAATACTTCAGTCAGTATTTTGCTTTAAACCAACTTCAAGGAACTGGAAATTTAATTTACTGACTCTCACATTTAGTGATAACAGCTTCATTATTGTAACACTTAAAATGACTGTTTCATTAGTCCAGTCACGACTTGCAAAATTGGAATTATGTTTGGTGGTCACATCCAGCAGTTGGAGCTTGAAGATATCAGATTTCATGTAAATGAATCCTGCTGACAGCTCTTCATCTTCCATCAGGAAGCTGAGATAAAGTTATGTTAGCTTATGTTCCGTTAGCTAAAGTTGTAATATCCCACGTTTCTGCTGAGTCCTGAATGTCCAGAGATCCTGACTGAATGATAAAAATGATAATGTGACATGCTGAAAAGAATAACTGAGGTATTCTGACTATTATTAACAGCATTGATCCTGCCTTTGATTTTATGTGGGACAACGTGAGGCAGGGAGGTCGCAGCAATTGACATTTTTATGTTTCTGGCTCAAACACTGCAATTAATTAAAGTTATCTGTGGGCTTCAAAAACAGAAATATGCTGAGATAACGTTCTGTTGGCTACAGTTCTTTTAGCTACAGCTCCATTAGCTAAAGTTCAGTTAACTACAGTTCCGTTTGCTACAGTTACATTAACTATAGTTCTGTTAACTATAGTTCTGTTAACTACAGTTCTGTTAACTATAGTTATGTTTGCTACAGTTCCGTTAACTACAGTTCCGTTAACTATAGTTATGTTTGCTACAGTTCCGTTAACTACAGTTCTGTTAACTATAGTTATGTTTGCTACAGTTCCGTTAACTACAGTTCCGTTAACTATAGTTATGTTTGCTATAGTTCAGTTAACTATAGTTATGTTTGCTACAGTTCCGTTAACTACAGTTCCGTTAACTATAGTTATGTTTGCTACAGTTCCGTTAACTACAGTTCCGTTAACTATAGTTATGTTTGCTATAGTTCAGTTAACTATAGTTATGTTTGCTACAGTTCTTCTATTTATGTTTGCTACAGTTCCGTTAACTACAGTTCCGTTAACTATAGTTATGTTTGCTACAGTTCCGTTAAATACAGTTCCGTTAACTATAGTTCAGTTAACTATAGTTATGTTTGCTACAGTTCAGTTAACTATAGTTATGTTTGCTACAGTTCCGTTAACTATAGTTATGTTAACTATAGTTATGTTAACTATAGTTATGTTTGCTACAGTTCCGTTGGCTACAATTCCATTACCTACAGGTCTGTTAGCTCTAGTTCCGTTCGCTAAAGTTGTAATATTACAGCGTAACAGCAAACGTTTCTGCTGAGTCCTGAATGTCCAGAAATCCTAATTAAATAATAAAATGATAAAAAGAGTAATATGACATGCTTAAAAGTATAACTATTCGACTATTAGATTATATAAGACTATTATTAACAGCATCGATCCTGCCTTTGTTTTTAAGTCATTCCAGGAAGTCACTGTAGTAATTGTGCTCTCCTGTTCAAACCTTGCAATTAATTAAATTAGATTAAATTCAAAAACAGAAATATGCAGCAAAAGGTTGGAAACACTTCAAATGCCAGAATCGCCAAACTCCAAACACATTTGGCCAAATCACAAATCGTACTCTCCTATTTACTCCCGGTGGTGTCTTTCCATGCAGATACTGTAGGTTTTGTTTTATTTGTAGAGCTTTTTGATGGAAAAATTACACTTGAAAAGCTCAAAACAACCAGCTTTTTGACAAACATGATCCTAGTTACTCACAATAATCCTCAAACCTCACTGTGAACCCTTTTTTTCCTCCAACCTTTTGGGAAGGAAATAGCTCCCAATGAAGATTATTAAAAACAATTTGGGTTTTGATGGGAGCAGAGTTAGGAAACGTCTAACCCAATATAAAGTGGATTATCCGCTGACCTTGACGCATTCGTTGTCGTCTAACGAACCAAGCTGTGCAAGGATGACGAGCTCGTTATTGTAGCATTAAGAGTACAAACGGCAGGGTGTAAGGCTGCAAGTTCATTTTCTCATGTTTCCCTCTGTGAGCTCACTGATGCTTGCCTGTAGGCTCCCATCACAACACTACGCTGTTTCTGTAACATGCATGTACTGACATGACAAGTGTGTGTGCACACAGCACAGACGTCACACACAGCTATAGTTAGAAAACCTATTTTTCATTTCTGTCTAATTTATGATGAATAGCAGCTGGCAGACCTCAGTCTGTGTGCGCTGTGGAGGTTTTTGGACCGATATATAACAACATATCTGAACAGTGTTCCTCGAATATCCTTATTGACATGTATATTAGACTTTATTATGATGGATTATAGGTAGATTTTTCACAGGATGTCACATTTAATTAGAAAAGTAGTTTAAAAACATGCACAAAGGGCAACCATTTATGGCATAGTGCTGCTAGAAACTGAGTGCAATAAGCTGATAATTAGCCTCATCAGCTAGCGTCAGTAATCAATACATTATTAAACCATTAATCAAACTAACAGCAGTCAACGTCAGACAAAATTATCATACTTCAGCAGTTTCCTAGTGTTTGTATTGGTGACAAAACGTAACGGGACTCTACAAACACAAGCTGAAGGCCGTCATATGTCGATTGTCTCCTTGTCAATTCACCATCAAAATAATCATTGGTAACTTGCCTTAACAATAGAAGTCACAGAGTTCATATGACACCTTTTTAGAAGATCAGTAGGGACAGGAAATGCGCTTTGAGCAGCAGAAGACACTCTTGCATCATCATGTCTGCTTTATAATCGCTGTAGCCATAACAGCCATTATGTGAAAGTACACCGTCTTGCAAGTACTCGTCATTTGAATCCAGTGTGGGCAGCAATGGCTTTAAGCCACTTAAAACACACCTGCAAGTGTCAACATTAGTCCGTTTTGATGCTAAATGTTAGTCTGTCCATCACGGCAGTAGTTTACATTGTGTCTCTGTGACCCTGACACTGTCAAACAGACGTTTTCTCTCATTCCGTATTAGAAAACATTTATTTAAAAATCTCTTGTGCAATTGATTGATTTTTTTAATTGGCTGCTGGGAATTTTGGCTCCAAAATTAGACTTTAAAGATCAAATCAAATGTTTCTTTATGGTATTATTACTTGTCTGCACTGTGAATAAAAGGTAGGAATACAACAATGTCAGGTAGCTTTGGAAAGACTGCATCATTTATCAGTATGGTATAAATTGCATGCAAAAAGCTTCAGCTGCAGACTCACAATAATAATAAAATGGCCTTCATCAGGACATTGAGGGAGTCTCATTCACACGTGAAACCCACACTGCTGCTGCTCTGGGCTCGGATTGATCCACACAGCACACCTCCCTCCTCCACCTCCCTCCACCTCACGTGGCTCCAATCAATACCACCATGAGTCAGTCATTAGAGAGGCTGTCCACTGATTGATTAAAACAACACCCAGCACAAACCGAACAGCCTGGCCGACTGAACGCTGAGAGCAAACACCTCAATACGTTTGTTTGCGAGTCGGACACATGTTTGGTACACGTCTGTTATTTTACACCTTCGGTTATTCTCACATAAATTAATTTCCAATTACTGCACGTTGAAGATTGACACTAATTCATGTTCTTAAAGTCGTTAAATAACACTCGTCTGCGTGTAGGTGTGTGCTACATAACTGTGTTTTAGTAGAGCTGAATCAATACAAAGACGTCTCTCTTCTGTCTCTTGTTCTGTGACTATCTCCTCTGATCTCAGTAGTCTGAGATTAAGCCCTCAGAGGGTCATTGCTTCAGCCAAAAGGCTTTTTTGATTTATGTGATAGTTATCTGTGCAACACATGCAGCGGTTTCCAAAACATCCACAGTCTGAATTCAGATGCTTTTTTTCACAGTAGTTTGACCATGAAAATCTGGAAAAGCATGTTTTTCTTTTTCGTCTTCAGACAGAAATCCCTCCCTTTGAAGACTCCGGCCAACAGCTTCTTCCTTTCCTCTGTCGCCTTAAGTCAAACAGGCTTCCTTATTAGGAAGATTCCTCGTCAGGTACCGACATGAAAACACATATCTGATGGAGAAACTTAAACTTGTCCTTGGTGCGAGTATAAATCCCTCACGGGGAGAGTTTCTGTAGTTAAAAATGACCTCTAAAATAAGCCTGTTTTATTGTATTTGTGCAGATATGTGCTGGACTGAGAGCAGACTGGTTGAACTCGAGTTCACGGCTTCACTTTCTCAATGGCATTCTGATTATGTGTTAAAGCTGTTGGACTGCAGCCAAGAGGGACTGAGGTTGTCAGGGGTTGCATTGCTGCCAAAGTGATGCTCTCCTTTTGTGTACACACACATACGAAAACCCCTTAAGAAAACTGTGTCTATATATATTAATAATTAAGGGTTATCCAGCAGACCTCAACTGCGTCCACTGGGTTTCTCTTATTTTCTTAAAGGTCCAGTCTGTATATATCTATTAGCAGAAACAGAATATAATATAATCATTGTTATGTTGGGCCTTTTATAACGAGCTGTTTTTATCTGCCGAAGGAGCAGGCCGCCATGTTGAACCACCGTGTTTCTACAGCAGCGTTTTTCCCCAAGTTACGCGTCCGCCGTAGTTTCTCCTACATGCTTGCATTGGTAGGGTGAGGCGAGAGGGTTGTAATCTGTAAACTACAGCGCTAGATGCCACAAAATCCTACACACTGGTCCTTTTTTAATCTGATAAAGGCAACCAGGTTTTCTTGTTTTCTAATAAAGGACCAGTGTGCAGGATTTAGTGCCAAAAAGAAAGGCCCTATCTACAGACAGTGTTTGGTTTGTCCCCTCTGGGCTACTGTAGAAACATGGCGGTTCAACATGGTGGACTCTGGACCCTTGGCTCATTCTAAGTTAACAAAGCACATCAATTCCTATATTCAGGTGATTATACACTAATAAATACATACCTATGAATATTATGTTCAGTTTCTGCCAGTCGATCTTCCTAAATGTTTCACACTGGACCTTTTTAAATGTTCTTTAAAAAGTTCAGGTTGCTGTAAATAAAGAGAGAAAAGGTTTGGAGAAGGTGATAAGTGGTAATTAGCTGTTAATAAGGAAACATTTTGTTGACATTTACTAATAAAAAAACTAAATTAAAATGCTACTTCTGGACAAAAAACAAGTTTTTACTGGCACTTTATTTATTAATCAAAAGAAAAGTAAACAATATGAGAGAGAAACAACTTGGCCGACAGATCAATGTGGTATTTATTTATCTGATATATTTGTATCTAGGGTTGCATTATCAATCCACAGATTATTCTCTGTTTATTACAACAGAAAAGCAGAAAATTGTTGCCACTGATGGCTCTGTCGATTGATCGATTGTTTCTGATCTAAATGCCCCGTGTAACCCGATTTGTCCCAGTGACCTGGTTTTCTCTCTCATGTAAACACTGATTGTTGCCATATGCTGACCTGCTGTTTAATAGTGTCTGTTTATTGTTTATTTATTGTTTTCTGTTGTTTAAAGAAGCTGATAATCACATCTAGAAATCACCTTTGAACAGGATCAATCCATTGTTGGTTCGGAGGAAAAAATGCAATATAAGAGATCTTCTCACATGACCTTGTTCACTGTCCTTAAACTGGTCAACCATGTCATGTTATTTGAGGGGGGGGTTACTGGTTTATTACACGTCCTCCCACCGTGTCTTTCCTCCCACTGTGAGCTTCTCCATCTGTCGTGGACGCCATTCAAATAACCTCAGGTCGCAGCGAATTTATCGGCCTCACTGTCACTACACAACAGCTGTTACCTGCACAAGCTCATTTAATTTTATCTGGAGTGTACAAACAATAATCTGCATCGAAGTGTAACACTCACTCACACACACACACACAAAAAGAGCCAAAGCTACAGCTGAGTCTTGACATTGATTAACATTAAACTTTCAGTATAGTACCGGTATGTGTTTGGGTTTGGGTCATGGAGTATTTATGACAACACAACACAACCGGAGTTTTTCCTTTCGTCCTTGTTTTGACATGAGCCTGATGCCTCGTCCTTCCTCTTGCCTCCACCTCGAGTTAAAATGCAGCAAAAATAAACTCAACATCCAATAAAGTTGCTCATCGAGTTTGAGCTTTTGCTAATTTCTTTGTTTAATTGTTATTGTAATGGAGAATAAATACAAAAAATTAGCAAAACGATGAGTCGGGGCTGCACGATATGGTAACAAGAACATATTTGGATTATTATATTACGTAATTGTTGCATCACATTTAATTTTTTACTGTAAAAACAATTAAAATCATTATGATGTGATATTTTTTTTGTCCGGAGAACAGCCAGGGTATCTCTTCAGAAGTACAGTACTTCATTATAATGATGTTCTGACACATTTTTCTTGCCCAGCTTCTCCAATTTGCATATTGCACTTGGCTATAATGTGATGTTGTTAAGCCCTGGAGTCAAGAGAATATCTTTTATTGTCTCTGAGGGGGACGTACGTACGTCACTAAATCAACATGAAACATCTTAAAACACGAGAGACACATTGACATTTAATCGATTAGTCAGAAAGTAACACAGTATTTGCTGCTTTTTATTCTCTTATATGACAGTAAACTGATTAGTCAGGTGTTATTTTGTTGCTGGTGGTCAGACAAAACTCAACATTTGAATATGTCACCTGGCATTTTTCACAATATTCCGACATTTTATTAAGAAAACGATAAATCGCTAATGAAAATAATCATTAGTCGCAACCGAACTATATCAGATGAACAGGTAACCATGTCAAACCAGTTGCTCGTCTGTTGTCAGTCAACGGGGGAGGAAGTTAAAGCCGGACGCAGATGCTGGTCGGCTTGACGAAGAAAAGTAATTTATTGTCCAATCTTAAAAGGGAATATGCGTTCGAGGGGGGAAATCCAGAGGATGAAGGCAGGGAGGGGATGAGCTGTGGGCTGATGAGACGAAGCAGAGCAGAGAACAAAGGCTGGCAGGCAGAAAATGATCTCAGGCACAAGGAGAACAAAGGTTAGCAAATCCACCCCCCAAAAAAAACACATGAGAGCAGAGAAAACATGAATACACAATTCAAGGAGCCTGAGACGTGCACTACCACAGAGTGTGAGTTAATGATCTGGTGGTGGAGAGAGTGGGTGAAGAACCAGGGCTGATATTCGGCTGAAACGAGTATCCAGTATAGATAATTTATCATTTAGAGCCCGATCAATATGGTTGTTTTGATGCTGAGGCCGATTTTAGAGGGGAATAATCCCCCGGTTACCAATACGATGCATTCTTGAGCTGTAATGACAATCTGTCTATGTAAAGGTAAACAACAATTAAACAACTTTATTAAATAATATTTAAGTTAGATATTCTTCAACATATAGGCTACAAAGAACTGTTTTATCTGCACATATTGGACGACATACGATATAGATAATATATTGGTTGTTGTATCATTCGAGTAAAATGTGTCAAGATCCGTACTTTGTAAATATATTGAGCTAATTTTGGACAATAATAATTGTCCTTTAGCCTAAATAGTTCTAATTATTGTGACTCAAAACATTGTGAAGGTAAATTCTGTATGTAGTTTTTCTAATAAATACAGCAACATCTGATCAATACATATCAATTTCATGTCTGGTTAGCCCCGCCCACGCCAAGTTTGAGCCCCCGCCCACTCAGAGTACGGAAACAAACACAGGTAATTTAGTTGGTTTGTTTTTAATTCATAAATCAAAATGCCATTAATCTTGTAGAGAATTTTTCATTATTTTATGCCAAATTTCTATTAACAATCAATTATTATTTGTTCATAATTTACCTCCTTCACACAGTTTGTCACTGTTTACTTGTGGTCGCCATTTAGAGATTGACATCTTCGACACATCATAACCAAGAATGGTTTCCTTTTCATCAGATTGAGGAAATAAAACAAACCATTTGACACAGTTCGATTTCAGCTGGTGAATCTTTATCTTGATCAGAGTTTTGAATTGGCTGCACAGTCAGACGTCTCGTACAGTGTTTCCTCACAGTAGAACTATGTCTGAGTTGTAATCGACTAATTTCGACACCTGCAGCTTTGTGTAAGTTTCACTTTTAGTCAGCCTTTGCATGAAATTATCAAAAATACACTGACACACAGCTGAGTATTTGATCTTTCCTTTCATCCAACCACGCTGATCTCACAGATAGAGATACCCTTTACGAAGTCTGTGTCATGCACATGTTCTTTTATGTTTAAAAAAAGAAGAAAGAAACCTGGTTGTGTGTCTACATGACCATGAAATCATGAAATTCCACCAGCCGAAATGCAGCCGCATTCACCGTGTTCCTCTAATCCTTTAACCCTCATTTACATGACATCTAAGAAATCAGGTTACTGCAGAGCCAACCGTATCCTGGTTACTTCACTGCAAGTAAATACACATAAAGAAGCATTATATTTTGGCTACAAACCTCCCAATCTTTGCCTGTGTGAACACGCAAAATGTAATTAACTGACCAAACTGTGAATAACCCCCCCCCCTCCCCTTTGCTTTTTTTCATCCCAACTCCCTGTAAAACTAAACTAAATCAGAAGTGGCTTTTAAAACAATCACAGCGGTTTAATGCAGCGATTTACTTCGTAGATATAACTTCTGTCCTCGAACCAGACGAGGATCAAGCTCGGGCTTCTCACATCCTGGGAACACATACAAAGACAGATCACAAGGATTTCAAGGTTTTTGCGAAATGTAACAGTTGCGGCACATGAAGCTGTTAGCTGTGTAAAATGTACTTACAGTGAAATATTGCGGCCGGCAAACTGTGCCAAGGTTCATGGGTAAACATCCCGGAGCTGATTAAATCCTCTTTATACTTAGAGGAGGTTGTTTGAACGATTTCCCCCCGCGGTTGGACCTCCCTTTGTGTGTTGTCCTGTCTGCTGATACCAGTTTATTTGTCTGCTCCGCTTCACAGGAGCTGCTGGAGAAATTCATGGAGGGAAACGTAAGCCTGGATGAGTTCCTGGACTCCTTCCAAAGCTCCAGGAAGACGTATCATATCCGCCGGGCTCAGGCGGAGAAGATGCAGGAGGTCGCCCAGGCCAAGCGGCAGCCGAGCAAAACGAAGAGAGCGGAGGAGAGCAAAGTCCCCGACGTGAGGAAGGACTCGGAGCAGCCTCAGGAGCCCCAGCGGCCCAACGGCTTCGTGGCGCAGGGACCTCTTAGAGTGTTCCAGGTACGCTACGGCCTCACGCCAGCCATCCTCCTCCCTCACTACCCCGTTTCTCCCCCTGCCTCGGCTCCAAGCTATCAAAGTAGCACCCCACCACCTGAACCCCAGCCGGGACAGACCCACATCCTCAGCCCCAACACGCCACTTCCAGGACACGGCCAGCCAGTCGGCCTCAGGGTCATCGGACAGTTACCGGGCGGCTGGCCGGCCAACGGGCGGCCGGTGAGAGTGCAGCAGCTTTACAGGCCGAACCCTCAACAGCCTGAACCGCCGTACCGATAATCTCGAGGAGGAAGGGGAGGATGACGGAGGATGAAAGTTTTTGAAGAGGTCTTCCAAGATGTGGAACCAAACAGTGGCTGTCACAATCATGTAAGCAAAGACTGATCCAGAGCCAGGCAGCACTGCAGACGTCCGTTTCTGTTCTCCATCCATGACACACAAATGTAACCAGAGCAGAGATAGCGAGGCGGCTGAGGACAGAGAGGACCGGGGATGGGCTCCGATAGCCGGATTCGTTAAACTAACGAATCTCTTATCAAACTTTTTATCTCCTTTTTATTCCTTTTTTCTCTTCGATATAGACGAATCTGGGGTCTGAATTTATCTGTGCAGCGCCGCCGCCGCCATCACTGCGGTGGCAGAGTGAAACTGAACACAGCGGAAGAAGGGATGATCGGGTTAATCGCGGTCAGCGGTGCCTGTTTCAGGGTGGAAGTTATTCAGGATGAAATTGGTCATGATGCAGATTTGGGGGGGGGGATAACATTAACGTACAGTTTCTGTCCTTGAGATTGAAAGATGAGGATTTAATGAAGGTTTAGGAAAGTAAAATAGATATAAGAGTAACAGCTGGGGGCTTTTTTTATAAGTCTGATAACAGTAAAGAATTCTTGCCGCTGTGAAAACTGGACTAAATATCATAAAATGTAGATTAATCTAAGCTTTATTTAATGGCATTTAATGAAGATATTCTCACTATTCGATCTCCTGGACAGATTTCTTGACGAAAAGGACAAAAAAAAAAAGGTGCCACCGCATTAATGGCAGCTTGTCTACTTCCGCCTACAGCTCTGATTCGTCTACAGGAAGCAGCTTCTTATTCTTAGCCAACCGTTGCTGTCGCTGTAGCCAATTAATCAGTCCCTCCTGGATTTTACTGGCCTTTTTTTTTGGTAATTGTTGGGTCTAATAATTTTATAATTGGTACAGTCTAGATCGGCTCTATTTGACAAGATTTGGCGTTACACAAATAAAACTGAATTGAATTAAAATACCTGATTTCACGGCAGCTTTTCTAAAACATCGCAACGCTTGCTGCACTGTTTAAAGCGCTGAAACTACAGGAAAAAGTGTGCGAGGGACAGTTACGATTGGTGAAACTCGTTGGGACTCCACAATGACGATTGTACAAAATTGTAAGGTTGCGTAGAATTCACGAGGAGTTGTTTTAAATTTGCGTTAATTGTCGCGATCGCAACTTTCCGGAGGGACTGATTAATGTTAAATCTCTGACGGCTCTATTACGCTGCTCAAATTACTCGTGTTTCTGCCTTTTCCGCCAACGAAAGGTGATTAAACATCTTTAAGTTGCCTTTAATTACTTACAAATGCTGCGAAGGTTGATGCCATTTGGAAAAAGGGATTCTGATTTGATAAGTGGATTTCGATTACTGGATTTGAATGCGATAAACTGCTATCGAACCCCATCCCTATGGAGGACGTGAACGTTTTTATTATTTTTAACTTTATTATAATTTTTTTTTTGTTTTTATACTTTACATGGACAGATGTGAAGCACAAGGTTGTGAAGCACATCTTCAACGCCAAAAAAAAAACAAAACAAAAAGAGGATCTCATTGTTCATTCATACACTTTTAGGAGAGAGAGGCTTTGTGAGATGCCAGGAGTCATCAAAATGAATGATGGCATCAATAAAATGGTGTTTTAATATAAACTCTCATTGTTTTTTCATCTCATCAAAGAAAGGCAACGACATTTATACTTGGAACCATTCCCAAGATCATGAATGCTGATATTAAATCACTGCGGAGCAAAAAAAGAGCAGAGCAGGTGGTATTTATTGATAATTCCCAGACCGTAACCTGTCAATAATATCTGCAGTGTCATAAGTGTGTGTGTGTGTGTGTGTGTGTGTGTGTGTGTGTGTGTGTGTGTGTGTGTGTGTGTGTGTGTGTGTGTGTGTGTGTGTGTGTGTGTGTGTGTGTGTTAGCATCACAGATGATTTCCCAAAGCCGTCTGCCTTCTTTTCATGTGATTTCATGAACAGTGTTGGAGCTCACAAGATTTATTTATTCATGTAAATCCTATTTTAAATGGCTGACTTCAAAGCTTCTTGTTTACCGTGCTAAATGAAGAGCTGCCTCTCCCTTTCAAGGCAGCCAGTGTTTTTTATTTTTTATTATTTTCTCCCACCCACCCCAACACAACACACACACACACCGAACTGAGAAGCAGAGTGAGGGGAATTTAATCTCTATGAGAATGCCAGCGCTCTGCAAGCCCACAGTCGAATATAAGGAGGTTTAGGAAGGTTCCCCCCCTTCTCATTTCGCTCTCCTCATTATCCGTCCTTCAGCATTTAAAGGGAGACGCTCTGGAATGTAGTTCTTTTTTAGTTTTTATGGTTCTGCTCTTGAACGTACATCTTTTGCTCATTAATAACTCATATAAGTGCATGCTTACTGCTTACAAAGTACATGAAAATGCCTTTTGCAGGCCAGTGCCCAGTTGCATAAAGAACCTACAGAAAATACTCCGAGGTCTTTTTTCTTTTTGAAGATTTAAAGTTGTGAAGAGAAACAGTTGTAATTAAAGCTGGGTCATCTCCTCAGTAAGTGTTCGTAAAAGCTCCAGTGTGTAACATTTAGGAGGATCTACTGGTGGAAATTGAGTATAATATTCATAGTTTTCATTCGTGTTTAATCACCTGGATTAAAGAATCTGAGGTCGCCATGTTTCTACAGTAGCCCAGAACAGACAAACCAAACACTGGCTCTATATACGCCCGTTTTTAGCGTGTTTAATGGGTAGTAATCTCCACTAAATCATACACACTGGACCTTTTTTAAATCAAAATAAGTGAGATTTGTAAATGCATTTCAAGGCTTTGACTTTTACTTTCTGTTTTGTTACAATTCGGGTAATTTTTTGGGGGGCGTTTTTGGACGTCGTTCCAATCTGATAACGCTCCGCTGAGATCTGTGAGTGCGGCTGCATCGCTAAAAATAAGTGGAAGTGGTCAACAGGTGCAACATTTATGGGTTAAATATATCCGATAGTGTGTCTTTAGCTATCTGCACACGTCTTTGGATCTGAAGTGAGGTGAAATTGGTTAGCCTGTCGTCCCTGAAGACAGCTGCTATACAAGGAAATAAATTACCTTTAAAGGGTCACCCATCAAATCCTGATCTGTATACTCTACATTTCTTTATTTTATCTTTAAATTCTGTGTATTTTGTTTGGTTTTTTTTTGCTATTTATTGTGGGCAGAAATTGAAAACCAGTAAATATATTCAACAAGTGAGGCAGGGCAACAAAACAAACCCATAGATTAGTCAAAGTTTGAGAAAATGAAGGTTAATGTGAAAAATTATCTTTTTTTTTTACTGTTTGCTTCTTTCTGATCCATGTTGAAACTTCTTTTTAGAGCCGCTGCCACATTCACAGATCTCACTTTGATGATGTTATTATGACCCAATTTCTAAAGTCTGTTTCCTGGAACGCAAAAAAAGAAAAAAAGTTAAATCGTTAACAATTAAACAATGTTTTTATTAGAGAATGAAATTGAAATGTGCCAATAACATTTGTCTCTCCAGACTGGATGATACTTTTGAAGATACTTTGCAAATTAGCCCAGTTTAACCTGCTTTTTTTTATTGTCTGATTGTTCTTATTCGATTTCATGCCTTTGCTCCGCAGGGTTTTTCTTACATACTGAAGAAAGGAAGGATACCTCGCCTTTTTTTTTAACATGCACACAATTAAACTTAAAGAGAAAACTGTTTGATTTGTGATCAAGATTTAAGAAATCACTCAATATTTTACCTCACAAATACAAATCAGTTCAGCGTTCTGGGATTTATTTGCTTTCTTGCCGAGAGAAGATCTCACGTCTGTGTGGTAAATGTGACGCTACACCCAGAAGACGTTTAGCTTAGCATAAAGACTGGAAACGGGGGGGAAAACCCTGGCTCTGTTCAAAGGTAACAAAATCCCACCTATCAACGTCTCTAAAGCTCACCATTTAGCACGTCATATCTTGTTTGTGTAGTCCGTACGAGAGTAAAAACAACACATTGCCTCCGTTGGTTCCCTTGCAACCTCTCATTGATGATAAGACTGCGAGGAAAAGTCAACACGACTTGTTTTTACACAAGATACAACATGTTAGTGACTTTCAGAGGCGCTGGTGGTTTGTTACCTTTGGACTCGTATTCAGGATGGTGAAGCTACACGGCGAGATGCCACTGAAGCCTACACACTGCTTCTTTTTCAAAAACACCTTTTATAAAGTATAACTGGACGTTTGCAACTCTCGGCAAGAAATTTCCCAAAAGGTCAAACACCTTGTTCTTTAACTTCAACGGCGTTTAGGACGTGAACGTTTCGATGTAACTGGGCACTGGCTCCAACCAATACATGCAGTCTTGTGTCCACTCAGGGTCAAAAATAAAATGCAGTGCCGCTTCCCAACCTGTAGCACAGATGGACCCGGGGTGACGGTGAATCCGAACCCGTGGATCTCATGTTGCCCTCCTTTCATTTATTTTATTTAATTTTTTACACAGGTGCATGCCAGAGAGACTCTAACCGTAACCACGGTGACACCAAATCACCTTCCTCTGTTGCAGTGAGATTTGACCGAATGAAGGTTCATTGCTCGAGTCCTGACATTTGATTTTAATTGTTATTTTTGTAACAGTGCTGGTACAAAAACAAACCAGGAATCCACCCTCACCATACTCTTACTGGTGTTTTAATTCAGGCCAGATGATTCATGTAAGATGTGTTTGAAATATTCTCAAAATGTAAAGTGCTTGTTTCTGCGACTGTGGTTCTCTTTGTCCGCTCTGTTCTAGTGTCTCTGTCTCTTTTTTTCTATCAAGGAATTTATCCCAGCAGCCTTCTTTCAAAGAGGGTTATATGTAATGAAATAAGTTGCTTTAAGACTTTAAATTTAAATAAAATGTGGCCACCCTCAAACATATCACATGATTTTTACACCGCGGCATCTCTGTGGCTGCAGGCGTCCGTACCAGATGATTACGAGCGATGTCAAAGCCGATCAGCGCCGCAGTGAGTGAAGATGATGCTAATAATATCCCGAGTTGAGGCTTTTTTTTATTTTTATTATTTCTTATGAAGCTCCGTGTTGTCGCAGCTACAGTACAGTACGTGTGACTGGACGCATGTGGCTGTCAAAACCCCTCAGAATGAAAACAGAGATGCAGGAGAATGTCACCTTGACCACTAAATGACACAGAGATCTCACGCAAACCTGAAAAAACCTGCAAAGACTTGTTTTCCAATCATAGAAACACTGGAAATTATTTAATAGTATTTTAGGTCCTCGCCTACATAAACTTAGGTGCGTATTTTCTTAAACTTTCAGACATGGAGCTGAAATACTAGAAGATTTACACAAGAGAGAGTCTCAGTAAGTCAGTTTGTGATTCAAATGTTTGAATACAGTAATAACAGTGAAACTTCAATTAAAAGCTGAGTCCCTTTTACTGGTTAATGTATTGATAAATAAACACAGGTCTCTTTGGGTCTGCTTTTGTTAATATGGACATTCTTTACACATTATTTGTTCATTTTAAAGAAACCATGAGCACCAATTTACTTGGATTTACCAACATGGGAAACGAGAGGGACGGGGATTGTTCAAAACACAGAATAAATAACGTCCACCTTCACTAAAACAAATACAAAGCACGCAACTAAATATGGATAAAGTTTCAGCTCGCAACCGTCCCTGCCTGAACCCGCTGTGTTCAGTCCTGGTTGGAGCCGCTGTAAATCACTGTGTTCGGTCCCAATCTTGGTCCTTAAAGACTTTTTTGGGGGGCGGATTTGGAGACTATATCTAGACTAGCTAGGGAGAGTCAAGACTAGGAGTCACCTGCTGTTGAGGTTCAGCAAAGTATCGAGGAGGAAAAGGCGCCAAATCAGGACGTAACTTATGACAGATATTTCATTTGGCGAACTTTTTCTTATTTGGTTGAAGTCCATCGCTAACTCTCTACTGCAACGCACTTTAACTGACATAAATCTGTCTCTCTCTCTCTCTCTAGATCAAATTTTTATACTGGTTTAAATAAACAATTTAATAGTGTTTCCCATCTTTGATGTAATTAAAAGCCCTGTGTATATATATATATATAGACGTCTGATATAGGGGTTGCTATAAAGCGTGAAGGACTCTGGGTAATGTGAATATGTCTTCCCGTGTTTCAGTTCTCAGCGCCGTGATCTTGAATACATTTTGTCACTTGAGTTTTGTCCTGGTATCATAAAACAACCTCTCCAGAGTCGGCTCCGTGCTGCCTAACACATGGGCCATAATGTGCTGTGACGGCGACTTTCCGAGCCAAAAAGTAAAGTGAGTGTGTTTTAAAATGTTCAAAAGACACAGCTTTTTAAAAAAAAAAATGTTTTCCAGCCTCTTTGAAAACCGAAAGACCACAATGAAGCTTTTTGGAGTCGCGGTGGCTCGTTAAAAGATGGAAATGTTTCAGTCCGCACGTGAAGCACTTATCGACATTATGTAACACAGCGTGGATACAGTACGGGAAGTACATCCTTATTTATATGAGCTGTGTAAAAAGAAAAATAACAATAAGTAGGTTATAAAATACACAGAGGAAGTCAAATATACCTCAGGAGGAAGCAAAAGAAACCTACAAAACAATGAATAAAATAACATAAATAAGGATAAAATGAAACGATGTGAAGTGATAGAGAAATAATGAACACATGAGTCTGTTTTTTGGTGTTTTGGTCTATAACAATAAACAGTAAAGAGACAATAAAATAAAAAACAAGTGTGGCAAAGAATCATAAAATAGAAAACAAAGAGAATTAAATGTTCAAAAGAAGGAAGGTTTTTATGACTTTATTCTCTGCTTTGTATTTTCCTTATAGGTCTAGTGTTTAACACACTAAAGTGATTCTTTTCACCTCACAGAAAGACAAAATTAACTTAATTTCTTCTAAAAACAGAGCGAATATTGACCACACATATGCAACCTGTACAGGTTTTAAGGGGGTCACGAGCCCGACTAATAACGTGGAGACTTGATATCTCATTAGTTCAGATTTAGAGGCAATAAGTGTTAAATAATGGGGGTGAAAAAGGGATAAAAACACTTATCTTAATGTCTGCAGGTGTGTTGACTGGAAGGCCACTGGTTTATTTCCAGCGAGGTGACCTGAAATGCTTCATTGTCAGGGTGAATTATGATTGATTGATCATTAATTTGTCAAAGTAAATTACACACAGCCACCGGGCCAGTCCTTACGGGACACGTAGGAACCGACAAGCTGAGCAAAAATCATGCTAAATTATTAATATCGAGTACATTAGAGGCCGTACTCGGCGCCTCGTGTGGTTGAAGAGCCGCTAAACCGTAAATGTGATGAATATTTTTACTGGCAGCCGACCAGCTGGTCAAACGAGGCTCTCTCTCTCGTCATCTAATTTACTGATTGTGTGTGTGTGTGTGTGTGTGTGTGTTGAAATCTGCCCAGTGGAGGCGTAATTACAAGAACAATAGCTTTGAAAGGAATTGTGACATTTTTTCTTCATTGTAGTTAAAGCGTTCACAGAAATCAAAATGTCACCGCAGGGTTGTTTCATCTGGGATTTAACGCAGTAACCACCAAAGCAGACACAGCTGCTCTCACTCACTTGAATCCTTTGTCACATATTGGGTTATTTTAGCCTTTAAAGAGCCGTTAATCAATGTTTTTTAATCAGCAACCGTCGGATGGGTTGCCAAGGAAGAGCGGTGACTCCCTAACTTTTACTCAAGCTCCACCATTAGGTTGACATTTTGGTTTCCTGGGAAATGTCTATAACAATGACTATTGTCTAAATACAATAGATACAACTACTAAATACAGTCTTAACTGTTCATTTATGGTCCCCAGAGGATGAATCCATGGTGATTATGTGACGGCAGGGTTAGCTGGTTGGTGCAGAACAAACTAAAAGGAGAGTTATTATTGGACTTTTAGATTTGTCTTTACATACTGTACATTATCCTCACATTAGCCTACTGTACATTCATTTTAAGTTATTATACTGTACACTCCCCTACATAAGCATACTGTACATTTTGTGTACTGAGAAGTCAGCTCAGAGGTGTGAAACTAGAAACTTGGCAGCAGCTGTAATTCAAAAAAAAGTGTGTAAACTTCAAGAATATGCAGCAAAATCAGGCCGTAGGAGTAGGAGATTTATAAAACATTTGCATAAGATTTACATAAACATAATCAAAAATGCTGCTCTGAACGGCAGATACCAATATAGTGTGTGTGTGTCTGTCTGTGTGTGTGTGTGTGCATAGGGGGAAATGAGCGTCTAAAAATGAAAGCACAGCAGTAATTACACCCCAGAAATAGGTCCTAATTGAAAGGTAGCTCCAGTAGCTACACTAATGAATTGATTTAATCATTTAATAGTTAATTAAAAGGCAGCACAGTTGCTCAGCGGTTAGCACTGTCACCTCACAGCGAGCAGCCTCCCTTTCGAGTGCCAGTTACTCATCTTCACTGTGTTAACATGACTTCCCCCCCGCCCCGTTAGTCCAAAAATAACACTTGATATTGAGATTATTTTTGCACATAGGTGTGAATAACTTTTACATGTGCCGACTTGGGTTTAATTATAACACCGAATATGAAATTTCCCCACTCACAGCTCAATATAAAGTTTAAAATTAAATTATAAATTAGGAATTTGGGGCAGTTCATGACGTGATGCAACTAGAAATAAGCATGCTCTTTTTTATTTTATTTTTTTTAAATACACCTGCTTTTAAATGAATTAACATACAAATAAACTTCCATGTTTTAATTAATCAATTATCGTACAAAAATGTCCATCACGGTTTTCTGATGTTAGCATTTCCACATAAAAGAAGGCTGCTGGGAAAGTTCTTGTGCATGCTCAGCTTTACTATCTACTAACACGAAACATGTTGACGTTTTACTGAAAAAGACTTTGCGTGTCCTCTCACACATTCAAGTGACCTTAATCAACATGTTTACCTGTGAAATTATTTCCATTTGCTTCCCATTGTGGATCCAGGAGTTGTCAATAAAATACATCTGCCACTCTGATTTTAATTTTGTCCTCTTGTTGCTGTAAGAGTTTGATCGATTTTAAAATAATTGTAATTCTTTAGCACCTTCACTGTCTGAAATCAAGGAGCTTTTGTTATTAAAATGGTACATTTAGATGTCATTGTCATTTGAATTACAGTGGTTTTAAGTACTTTTACTCAAGTACTAAACTTAAGTACAAATCTGAGATACTTTATTTCCATTTTCACTTCTTATTCTGATTAATAATACAAAATATAAACAATTAGGAGGTTATATTATAGATTAAGCTAACAATTTATTGATCCCCTCCTAAATGTTACACACTGGACCTTTAAGTAGACCTTTATTTTGATAAATGGTTTGATGCTCATTACTTGCAGCCTTTCCACACTGTGCTATGTTACGTTTACATAAGTGTATTTGCCCTCTCTCTGTCACATGTGGGGATAAAGTGTGAGTGTTATCAGGCTAGCTCTATCAGATTAACAAACACTGCTGTATCTTCCACTCAGCCCCCTCATCTCCTTCTGGCTTTCTTTCTTTCTTTCTTTATTTTTTATTTCCGTCTCAGCTGCTTCAGACCCACTGTGCCAATCCCTCTCAACAGTTTTTATTGTTATGCAGATGAAGTCCAGTTAACTCGCCTCCGTAAATCCAAATGGGATGAAAGCTATTTCAGAGGAAATCTGCCTTCATGTTGGAGCCGGCCTTAAACAGCCCAACTCCCCGCTGCCTTAACAAGGCCCATCACTGCTACATAAATAGGTACCTGTGACTGGATCAGGTGATGTTTCGGGGCATCTGGGGAGGATGTGAACATCAAAAGTTTGTAGTTTGTTGCTGAACCTTGTCAAACATCAAGTGAGCATATTAAAGAGAGTCTGCTGGCAGATCTGGGACAGTTTGGGGAAGATAGAGGGGGAAAAAAAGGCATTTTTATTGCAGTATTAATTGTTTGTGATAATGTTTTTTTTATGCTAATCCAAGCAGCTCTCTATTGCTCTCTGGTGGTCGGGTCGTATATCGCAGTTTCACATTTGTATGTTGCCTTTATGTGATATTAAAGAGCAAATATTAAGATTATTGATAAAGCAGAGGTGTTGTGTTTACATAATACAAGTGCTGCTAAATACATCAGGATAATGTATATTTTATGTAAAAGTAAATGTACTTTCCAGCACTGAAAGTTAAAAATACAACAATGTAAAAATACTCTATTACAAGTAAAAGTTCTGCATCTAGATTTAAGTAAAAGTCTTATTAGCAAAAAGTACTCTCAGTGTCATTATACACAGTATATAACGTGTGAGAAGGATTTTAATGCTGGCCATGGTTGAGCTAATTTTAAGTACTTTATATGATAATTATCAATTAATCTGTCTCTTACTTTCTTGATTAATTGATTTGATTCTAGAAAATGGTGGAAAAAAGTGAAACAAGTGTCTTGTTTTTCAGTTTATAGTAATTAGAGATCAGGAAAACTGAAAATATTCACAACTGAGAAGCATTTTCAGTCAATAATTGACTACTATATATGTTGTTTGACAGTTTAATCTATAAAAACAGATCATATTTTCTATGTTGAGCTCATGTTTTGGATGTAAAATATGAATCGTCAAAGTAAAGAGCGACTAAAGTGGAGCAGAAGTTTAAAGCAGCAGAAAATGGGAAGTTGTACTCGAGGACTAACGCAGTACTCATCGAATTCCTTATAATCGGCTCAGTTCATCCGATATCTCGTACACAGTTCTGCTTTGTAAACAAGCTCCATCGTAACAGTTGCAACGTATGGCTACTAACAATGTACGCAGTGTATTTGCATTGGAAATCTCTTAATGCTCGTTTACTCCGACCTCTAGTACCTCTCAGTTCATCTCTTGCTCAACGGCGAGAACAACACAGTCTCTGTTGAAATGTAAACAAACACAAACACCAACATCAGCGCTTCAGTGGTGGAAGAAGTATTCGGATCTTTTACGTAAAGGTCCGAAAGTCTCATAATGTTACGTAAAAAAAGGTCCAGTGTGTCACATTTAGGAGGATCTGGAGTCCTAAATGCCACAAACTGGACTTTTAGAGCAGCAACAAGAATCTTTAAATGTGTTGATTCTGGCGCCCCCTGTGGACAAACGTGGTAGTGTTTCTACCGCCTTGTTTCATTGATTTCAAGGGGAATCTAAAGAAGAATATCTATATAAAAACAGCAAATCTTCTTGCTTATAGTCTTGTTTTTTTATGTAGGTCAGAATTATCTGAGCATCTCTACACCACTGTTGCTGTGACGCTGTAAAGTGTTTATCTTATTTAATCTTATTTTGTAGTAAATAGCAATTATATGTCAAATATATGTACTGAAATTTTAAAAAAGTACAATATTTCCTTCTAAAATGTGGCAATAAAAAGCAGCGTAAAATGTAAATACTGCACACAAGTAGAGTCAGACTTCGGTACTTTACATATTCCACCACTGTTAATTGGTTAATGTGAAGAAAACCCAAAGAAATAAAATAATTAATAATAAGTCAGTGAATTGGGACAAAAAAGAGGTTTTATTCCAACTAAAGATGTTACGTTCCCTGAGAAGAAGTGTTACACAGTTATCATCTACAAACTGTAGACTGGTCACAAATTAAAAAATCATCGCATTTAGCAGCTATGTTCACAGTTTCCTAATTATCATGTGATGTGCAACATGAGTGTTTTTAGTGGGAATAATGAGAAAACTCAAAAGGCCTGTCCTACTTTTATATTTCCTTCCCCAGCCTTTATAGCACACAGTTTTTTTTTCATTATAACAGGCTCAGGCCCTAATCTCCTCGAGAAGTGCCCACTGTGCCATCCAGTATTTTACCCCTTTCATTTTCCAATGCGTCAAAACTTCAAATCCCTCTTTCTCCCTCTTCCACACATTACCTACACAAAGTCACAAGTCCCAAAGGTGCTTTGATTGTAATGAGCTGCTGAGCGAGAGAGCTTAACTCGCTGTTCATGTCTGAATTTTTTATCCACACAGTTTGACAACTTTTAATGTTTCTGCTGTTCGAGGCAAAAGATTAATTCAAATGTTCACTCGGAGGAAGAGGCAGCAGCTGTCTGACTAACAGTGAAACTTGGTTTAAAGGGATACTCCACCCTGTAAACTAAATTATATGACTGTACTGTCATGAAACAGAGATGGTTCAAGGCCAGTGCTGACTCCACGTCATAACATTTAGTTTATAAAAACAGTGTTAACACCCTCTAATCAACAGAGGGCGGCCCACCTCCCCCAGCGTCTGCACTGAGTGGGAGTCTTTGTGCATCAGGTCCGTTTAAAGATAAATACGAACTCACATCATTTAAGTGTTCAGAACATAATGAGGACAGCTCAGCCTCTTGGTGCTAAATGCAGGAAAAGCAGAAAGCGCCGACAATCTGAAGCTGACAGCAGGTGAAACTCCTTCTTCTTGACACCTTGGACCCAATATTGCCTCTTTCTTTTTCTACTTTCGAGTGAGAGGACCATAAAGTCATTCTCACTGCGTGATGACTCCATCTCGTATTGTGAACTTTTGCAACAAACAAACAAAACGCTTCGTCTTCAGCGTGCAAAGTTTTAACGATTTTAATCGGTTGAAGGGTTAAAAAGCGCATTCGAAAAATCTGGACTTGGTGTGCAAAGGCTTTGAAACCGCTGAGCACATTTTCAATTGTATACTGATTGAGACACATCATTCACAGGAGTTTATGCTAGTTTTTGCTAACCCTCTACTTATTATTTTTCTATTTTGGTGCAGTGGTTCGGACTTGTGCTTTTAGGCGGCTGTAGAAGCACCACCAGACTGCAATCTTTACCTCGATCCCACGCACAGACAATACCCCCAAAGACACACATACCATAGAGTTAGCCTCTTTGAGCCTTTAGCTCAGCTACAACACAGATACCACACAGAAACCTTCCATGAATGTGCTTCTAGTGACTGTAAAAGCTCCAGCAGACTCTTCTGTGTGTCCAACGCGGACCCGGAGAGTCTGACAGCAGCTTGCTCATTAGCTCTGACTACCAACTCGCTGTTACCGCTACTCCGCTGTGGTCAGTCTGTCGGTGTCGAGGCCACGCCCCCTAAAGTCACTGTCCTTTGCAGGTCTTTGATTTGCTGAGAGGGAGGTCAGACTAGCAGACTCAAAGGGTGTAAGTTAGTTAGGAAGTGACAAACTTGTTGCTGCTTTTTAGACGCTTGTTTCCCACATCCCTGAGCTTCACTCCCAGCCTGAGTTCCTTTCCTAACCGCTCACATTTTAGTGATGTCCACAGAGTCGTGAATGTCAATCACCTGGAACCCCATGTTGTCGATCCCCAACTTCTCCTGTTTACTGTGGTTTTCTTGGTTGTGGCTGTTGTGGTTTCTCTGCTCTGAGTCCGTCTCGAAGCAGCGGACGCAGTGTGGTGTGGTGACCCGAACGCTTTTGGAAAAGTTTGAGAAATCCACGCGATACTTTCCCGTCTTTGTGCGGGAGATGATGGGCAGGAAACTGTGTCCCCATTGAATCTCCTGTGGGATGTAGGAGGTGCGAACCTGACAGAAGGAGCTGGTGGACTCGGCCGTACCGTCCAGAAAGACCACCAACTCAAAGTCCTGCTGGTGAAGAGAGTCAGCTGACAGCTCGTAGAACGGGCTCGATCTATCAATCACGTGGTAAAGGGTCAGAGGGCAAACAAAAAACAAGTTATCCTTGCCGGCGTCAACCATAAAGTCAATGTCCACCTGATCCAGGATGATGGTCTCTCCATCTGGTGTGGTTGTGGTCCTAAGCAGCTTGCCGTAGATCTGGCTGCCGATTAATAAGGTCTTCCGAAGGTTGGCCACTCTGATCAGAAGACACAGACTTCCTTTCTTCAAGCAGATCACAGCTGTGTTGCTGAAGGTGACCGTCTTTGACCTTTTTTTGGGCAAGGAGATCTTGGCCAAGATGACACCGCACATGAAACAATTGATGAAGACGCCGATTAGTGACTGGATGATGATGAGAGCCACGGTGCCGGCACAGTGCCCGGTCAACGCCCTGCCGCCGTACCCAATCGTCGTCTGGGTCTCCAAGGAGTAGAGGAACGCCGTTGTGAGGCCGTTGACATTGTCTACACACTGGACGTGTCCATCTGTGCGGTTCTGTCCCGTCAGATCCCCGTTGCTCTTGGCGATCCAGTACCACAGCAGGCTGAAGATGAACCAGCTGCCCGTGAACGAACCCACAAACAGGAGGAGAACAAAGCGCCAGCGGATCTCCACAAACGTGGTCCAGAAGTCCACCAGGTACGCAAAGTGGTTACTGTATTCAATGTTGCCGAACTCGATGTTGCAGTGCCCGTCTTTGGTGACCAGGCGAGTTTTGCAGCTTCGGTGTCCAGCTGGCTGGATGTGACCCTGGAGCAGCTGGATCATCCTGGAGCTGGAGAGAGCAAACGCAACATTAGTACAAAGCTGCGTCCAAGTATTTTGGAGCAGGAACTCACCTTCTACCGAAATCTACAAACAGACTGAATGCAGAATCTGTAGACAAGGAACCAAGAAAGATTTCATTGGAAGTGTTCTGGTTTCCGATTGTAAGTAAGTAATATTGACCAATCATGTTTGAGTAAGCTTTGGTTGCATCGGCCATCGGCTAGTGACAGCATTTGTGTTTATAGAGATTATCTGAAATGTGTCTTTCTGGTCATTCTCGTGTATCAATCTCACATTTCTAATTGAACGGCAGAGGAAGTCTTGGCCTGGATATCCTTTTTCCGGCTGGCCAGAAATACCAAAGCATCGCGCCCGGAGACTAAATCGTCAACAGGTAAGCCTAAACCATGGATTCCAAGATAGTCTTATACAACATAAGTAAAGTCAAACATCCCCAAATCACACATTTGATGTACAGGTATTGAAGGACACCCGCTATCCTTAAACTCTATCTTCCAAACCGAACAACAGCGAGTTAAATCCCACACGAACTACTTAAAATGCAAGTTGAATATCGTGACATATTTGTTATTTTATTATTTTAAATGAACAGGACACATTAGTTTGCTGTGTTGTGTCTTATTTACTGTAAAGTAAAAGTATTGTGTTTGTAGCCTGATATGTGTTTTTCCTCTGCACCATAGAGCTCTATTGTTTTCCAGAAACAATTAAAAACACATTAATGAGCCCACGTTTCTTAATTAACTGCAAATCCTCAGCAGAGCATTAAATGTGTATTAATCTGCGTCTGAAAATAGTCCCCAACAAATACACTCTTTATTCCTGTTTTACTGAAACCTGGAGTGTCCAGTTGCCCTTTTTTTGAAAATGAAAATGAAAATGATTTATGACCTGTTTTATCTGTAACTAACTATCACCTTTTTGACTTCAGTTCAGTGCTACAGTGTTTCTGATTTGTTTTCAGGCAAACCGTAGATCTATTTGGTTGTACATGTCAGTCAGAGCACGCAATTAAACAAGTATGTCTGTTCAGTAGAGGCACCACAACAGGATAGTCCTATAGGCACAAACAATGCATTATTCATTTATTTGAGTTATTGTACCTGTTTGTACTGTGCAGTATGCACCACGTGGTTCACTTTGAGCCTTACATAACAGCCGCTCATTAGACTCAAGGTTATGATTCAAGAAACTAGTTTGTTTTGAATAAAGAAATGGTACTAAAACAACAGTTGTCAACAGTTTGTGATCATTGTTCATTGATTATAATTAACATGCTAATGGTCTTCATTAAATACATGTTTTGTTACTTTGACAACACAAAAACTAACTGCTAAACTGCCTGTGTGTTGTTGTTTTGTTATTGTATCACTTTAGTTGTTGTTATATAGTTTGCCAGGCCCCTTATTGTATATTCTGTTACAGACAACAGTGAGAAAACTAAAGAAAGTAACATCTTCACAATTTAAAAAGATGCTGAAGTAACTTTCCTTCTGAGCTGCAGTAAAAACTATACTGTATGTATTAGACATTAGACTCATCTATAAAGCACCAAAACACACTCAATAAGTGAATCATTCATCCACTCTCAGTTCTGTAAAAAAAAAAAAAAAAAAAAAAGAAAGTTTTGTTTTCGACATACCTGCTAAGTGAGACCATGGGCCCAGACTGCTCACTGGATCTCCGCTGGAACTTGAGACTTTCTTTTAGCGAGTGGCCATGGAGGCGTTGGAAAGATTTTAATCCACAGTGAAATTTCCTAATCCCAGCCACATGCCACCATGTACACTGGCTTCATAGAGACAGAGGAGCCAGCCAGAGATCTCCCAGTGGGCGTCAGTTCTCTCTGACTGGCAGAGCGACTTCCCTTATCGCTCCACCTAAAAAAGTCTAATAACGCAACCAGTTGCTTCATCAGCACTGGGTGGATGAAGGCTGAATTTCTGACCAGCATGAAGAGTTTTTCTGGAAAAGTCCTCAGCGCTTTAGAGTGCCAGAAGGTGCATCTATTGAAGGGGCCAAAGTGGCCGGTGCTGCACCCATGCTGTTATTGTTTTCAGCCCTGAGAACATTTGGGATTTGCGTCGGGCCTCACAAAGAAATCCCTCAATTGCATTTCCCCTGGTTCCCCCTCCCCCCTCTTCGAAAAAACCTGCAAAGCTGCCTCACATTTGCATCAAAATGAAGAGGCCGCGGGGACAAAGTGTCTTTGCCGTATTCTCCTGGCTGTAGCGGGACCATTTTCATATTTGAAAAGCATATTTTCCTGATTTGTTATGATATGAAAGAGGTCTAAGATGCCCCTGAGCAATGGATACAGATGCCATTAGCTGCATGCAAATGAAGGGAGCGGGAGGTGGTTGAAGATGCAGATGGTGTTCCTGCTGTATTGATTCAACTGCAGAGACCCTGCAGGAATCTTAAAGGCTACTGTAGTAACCTTCTGCCATAACACAGTCAGTGGTCTTCAGTCAGGTGTGCAGCTGCATCTACACAAGTGTTTTAAAGCACCAGCAAAATAACAGCTGGTACCGAGCTGCACATAAAACACAGTGCAGATTCATTAAAGGAAGAGAGTAACGCTGCATTATGCACTAACTCCACAACATGTAAGACATTTTCACTTCATTATGTAACAGTCTGCCACAGCATGAAGGCAACGTGTAATACATTTCCCCGCTGTTTTATGATGAATAATTACATTTTGTGGTGTGTTCAAATATAGCTTTTTACATTCATGTAATCAATACAACATAAGATCGCTGCATTCACTCAGTAAGGGGAAAAAACTAAACAAACATCCAAAACAAGAATGCTCCTCCTGTTCTAACAAATACGTAAACTATTCATAATATAATATATTACCTGCAATAAATGCAAAATAAAACATCCAACAACAACCTCTACAGGTCACAATCTGCATCGTCCACAGCAGATGAAAATATAATAATATGTTGCAGTATGACATAATGCAGTGATCATTTGCCTTTTTTATCGGGCCCCCATTGGCAGTAAAGTGCGTAACAATGCTGTGTTTTATGAACAAATCTTTCTAATTAATGAATAAGATACAAAGTTTAGCTCAGATTTTAAGTGCAGAGCTCCTATTTATCCATCTCCTCACAAACCTGGACCAGAAAGAACGTGAGGTAATGTTGAGCGTGATTCCCTTTTCTCTCCATCGCAAAAACACAAGAAGAGTTTATTAACGTTCGCCTCACCAGAGCCGTTCGAAAGGCAGAGGAGAGGAGTCATCAGTAGTTTATACATGTAGATCTTATGGCAATTTATTATGTGTGTTTACACGTTTGGGTCCCAGGGAGACACCACATTTCTCTTTTGGGTCTCAAGCTGAAGAAGTCTGGGATAACTACTAATAACCAACCAAAATTGATTTCTTAATCTGTACAAATTAGTTTAATAGTTAACCTAAATTCCCAAAGTTGACTCTGCTCTTAGTCTAAATAAAAGCAGTTACAAGAAACTCTGGGACTTGACAGATGCCGACCTGGGAAAAACTCCTTCACGCCTTTATTTTGTAGCAGGGTCGACCGCTGCAGTGGACTCAATGGACAAAATGTGGGTCATGTGTCACTTCAAGTACATTCAATATATGATTTGAATATTTTGCTCAGTCTTTGTTTAACGTTGGTAAAGGGGCTTTTTTTTTTGCAGATCTACTTTCACATTCACGTCAAAAATAAAGACGGGACTTTTATTCTTCTATTAAAACTATTGAAGTGCCGACTGACTGTATTCTTTAAGTTTCATTCTGACTGGGTTTTTTTTTTTTTTTTTTAGCTGGTGTGCTGCATTTTTGCAACAGGAAGTTATCGTCAAGGATGTGGAGGCGGCTGGTGTCACTATTACCTGATCTGTGGAGGCGGCAGGTGGTTCAGAAACCCCTCTGTAGTTGCAAGAAGAAAACCACAAAACGACTAGCATCATCGAGCTGAGCAAACCATGCAACATGTTTTACAATTGAGCAGAATCCAAAATAAGTATGATGTGGTTTGATGGGGGGACTTTTACTTTTTACTCCACTATTATCATCAACCAGCCGTAGCTGCTGGTTACTTTCCATATTATTTTACATATAATATGAGATATAGACCAGCTCTATGTAAAGTAGTTAAAAGAAGCTCCACCTGGACCAGCTACATTGCGACGTCACCCGTTGGCTTGGCGTATTGGTCGTTGCTGTGACGGTTTGTCGGAGGCGACGTACCGTGAGTTGATCCGCTCTCATTGGCTGCGCAGTTTCAACTTGTCCGTAGCAGGAAACAATGGCTAAAATATGTTTCTGATGGATTTGAAGAGAGAAATAGTCAACGCGGTAACAGAATCTGGATCCATATTTGATCAGCACTGCCTAGTTTGACAGTTTGATCTGAGTTTCAAGTTTCACAAGGTAGCTCCGCCCTAATGCATACCCTGCTTTATGGTCTGTTTTACTCTAAATGAGACCATCATTTACTAAATGAACATCATGCTGTATGGAAGAAGACTTGAAACTAGTGATTGAGACCATAAACTCATTAGGAAACTGTTTACTGAGCTCATAAATCAACTGAGAAGTCGACTCATTTCCTCATTAGACTCAATACACTTCGGCGTTGGATTCACTTCACAGACCCAGAAGCTCTGTTCATAATATAAACTGTAAATGGTCCTGACCAAACAGCTACATAGCAATTTTACTCTTCAGTTTTTGTATGGATTAACAAAAACAAGATACAGAAGCTTTGTAAAAGTTAATATTGGGTAAATGTTGTATAACCTCACAGGTAAAACCAACAGACACCATCATTTAATATGCATACACGTCATTAACCTGCACTTAATAAAGCATTAATATTATAAGCGTGTCCGGGTCTTGAATTAGTATTATTGATGAACTGTCAGTTATAATACCTAAGATATTTTCACTGCTGTGACATTTTCATATTAAGATTTTTAAAAAAGAGAGTTTTTAAATAGATTTTGAATAAACAAATTGATTCTTGGTACATTCTTTAATTCAAACCCTCATCTGTTCTCTCATCTTCTTCTTCGTCATCTAGCTTTGACATCCAAATTACATTTTGCTTTAAATGTGTCAGGTGGGATGATGATGCTCCATGGCCGGTTACTTGATATGAAAATATAAAAAAACAGATATGGCTCCATCTGGTGCACAACACCCCAAAATACTTTTAATGTTATATATTGTATATTGCTCCATTTGCAGCAGCCAGGTATGGAAGCAAAGAAAGGCTGTAAGGAGCACCCGAGTACCTATTCGTAAAATATAATCACTGATGAAAACTTTATGTTGTGATTTAAATACAGCTGAATTTACAGCATTCACGAATCTATCCAAATTTATCTGCTTTGCCTTCCCCGCTTTCAGAATTTCTCCCCAAACGTTTTTAGAAAATCAAATAAGTAAAATATGACAAACCTCTTTCTTCTTTCTCCTGTAAATGTTTAATCAGAGCTACCCTTAAAAATCTAATAATCCAGTTTTATTTGAATTGTGTAAATATAAACAGAAAAAGGAGAATCTGTTTCTGTGTTCTGTTTATAAAACAAACAGTAAAAACCTAAACTGACCGTAAAATTTCACTTTCAAAACACGTATATATAGAAAATTTGTATTTCAAAGTAAAATATGCTTATAGTGTTTTTTATAGATTAGATTTCAAAATTAAAGAACCAGTGTGCAGGATTTAGTGGCAATCTAGTGGTGAAGTTGCAGGCGGGCTCATTTTAAGGTAACAAAAACACTTTAAATTCTTATTTTCAGGTGATTATACTTTAATAAAAACATATCTATGAATATTATATTCATATTCTGACAATAGATCCTCCTAAATGTTACACACTGGACCTTTAAGTATTCAGTTTCTTATAAAAATGTTTTAAAAAAACAGTACCAGATTGTAACAAGAACACATTAAAAGGATCCAATGTGACATTATATTGCATGGCTTATGTATCGGACACACACACAAACACACAGTTTACATTATGTACACTATATAAACTCATCTGGAGTTGCTGCTGATGTTTCCATTTAAATTTTTATCCTGCTGCATTACACAACAGCACCAACGAGCTAATATGAATTTGAAAGCAGAAGTGAGGATTTTGGTGTTAATTACAGTTTCAACTGTATCCGTCTCACCTCCATTTATCCTTGTTTCAACTGATTTCCCTTCTGCATACAGGTTTCTAAATGAAGAGGCAGTTCCTCTTTTCCAGTACTTTCTCAAAGTTTCCTTCTCACGATTTCCCCAGAGAGAAGTCAACCTCGTTCACACAAAGCTGTGCAGTAAAAGCCCCCCTCCGAGTCCGAGTCCGACTCGAAACAGTCAGAGAAGATACGTAAGAACATATTGATAAGACTCATTGTTTGCAGCATTAAATGTTTTCTGTATCATATCACCATTAAAAGAAACCACAACCTTCGTCCTGAGATCTTCTAAAAGCTTCGTACTTTACCGGTTACACAAGTAAAATTAAACAATAATGACTATTTATCACAACTTCTGTCATGTTTTTTGTAGTTTTGGCCCTCATATATATCAGTTATAATAACACTGCACTCACTAAAGTAATGGGAGATCTGGGTCAGTAACACAGGGCAAGAAGTCAGCTTAACTTTGGAAAGGGACAGTAAGTTGAAGTTCAGACAGTTTGGGTAATAATTTTACCTTTTTCCTTCGTTTTCTCTTCCAAAAAAGTTTGGTTAACCTTTTTATTTTAAAAACATGTCAGATCGTCCAAAAACAACAAAAGACACCGATCGTATCCGTCCTCCTGACACCGCAACAGTTAATGTTCAAATCATGTCATGGTTACTATAATAAACAGCTCTGTCTGTTCACAGTGGATGAATGTAGTTAATTACATTTACTTCAAGTATTTTCTACTATTTCCATTTTATGATACTTTATACTGCTACTCCACTACATATCAGCAAAGAAATATAACAGTACAATAGTAATATATTGTACTTTTTACTCAACTGACAGCTGTAGTTACTGGTTACATTTCACAGATTCAGATTAATACAAAATATAGTTAATATTGAGCAACAATAAATAAATAAATTATGATTTATTATTATGGATTAAGTATGTTCAGACACTATTTTTTCCCTCCCGATACCTGAACTTTGTACCATGTGCGTGATTATTATCTAACAAGCGTATACTAATAAGCCTGTATCATTGCTGTATGGCCTGGCTCAGGTTAAACACTTCATAAACGGGTCATGGCGTCGCTATCCTGGGAAAAAAAGGCAAACGGGACACTGAAATAGTACTCGCAGATACCAGATACCACATTTCAGGCAGTTTCGGAGGAACTCTAGGATTACTACTTCACCGTAGTGACGATACCACATTCCCAGATCTCCGTAATCAATTTGGTGAGTACAGCGTTATGATTAGTGATCAGAATAATGTTCACAACTACAAAAGTTATGACTAAAGTTGTGATATTTTGGCTTTGGCAGCAGTGTGAACGAGTCCAAACTCCTCTACACGATGTTCCTCTCCAGCATGGGTTCCTGGGCCAGAATGCGCTGGAAGCCGAGGGCGCTCAAGTTCAACGTTTGAAAGTTTCCGTCCAGGATCAGCTCTGCCACAGCGCGACCCACCGCGGGGGAGTGCTGCAGGCCGTGGCCGCTGAAACCGGTGGCAAAGTACATGTTGTTGATCAGCGGGTGAATGCCGATGATGCCGTTCTGGTCAAAGGTGTTGTAGTCGTAGAAACCCGCCCAAGCACTGGTCACCTGGGCGAAGGAACAAAGAGAGAACGAGAGCTCGGATACTCATTTACAATAATCAATAAAAAAATATTTCTTCTTTGTCCTCTTCAAAATAATCTTCTCTCTCAGATTAATACTCTGTCGTATTAAATGAAGTGAACTACCACACCCGTAGAATGATTACCAGGCAAATAAGCAAAGAAAAACCTCATATATTGACTAATTATTAATTATTAGTAACATATCCAATCCCTACCTTCAGTTTCTCAAAGGCGGGGACACGATTGGCCAAATTGGGCCAAATCTTGTCCTCAAAAAACTGGTGGTCCACCTCCAGGTTACTGGTGTCTGGCTCCTCCGCCTGAGGGAAAAAAAACACACAATAACATTTATTTTCATTCCTAAAAATAGCGAGTAACAGCTGTGAACTCTAACACACCTCCTCTGGTGATGTCCCGGCGATGTAGTTCCCTCCTAACCCCTCTCTCCTGAAGTAAACTCCAGAGTAATCAATCAGGAAGGGAGTGTCTAGACCGGGACCATCAGGACAGTGGACGACATACACGTACCTGAAGAAAAGAGAGAGAGTTGTACAGGTCTCGACTGAAAGTAATATCCTATATAAACGTTATGTTCTTACAGTCCTGTGTAAAAGCACTGATTGTGTATCTAATGCAAGAGACTTAATGTTTGTAGCAGCATAAACTGTTTGACAATTAACATCAGAAAATGAATACAGACGGCTTATCTCGATTCACGATAATAGAAATTCACCACGATATATAAAATTATAGTTGAGCCAGCGGTTGCTCTTTCAGGAGGAATTTAAAACGGATCTTTCATTGTTTCTTGAATTATATGTACAGGCAAACCTATGAAGGCAACGCAAATTTAATCAGCATCACTCAGATAGATACAGAAATGATCAGATCCCTCATCCGTAGTTGGAAAGAAGTGGAGAGGACCAGGGGGGTTTCTGAAGCTTTTCGACCATCCGACAAGCAGTTCTGATGAAGCATGAAGACAATTTAACTGTCTGGAACTGATAATCTGACATTCATACCGTCTTCACACAGAGATAAGAAAGGATCCAGGCTTTGAACTTCTCTTTTCTTGAATCTCAACAACTATCAGCGATTCTGTGATCGTCTTCCCAGAGAAAGAAACACTGGATATATATGTCAGCTCAGTTTTTCACCGACCTATGAACTATAAAGACTTTTGCATTTCCGTCGTTGTTTTCCAGTATGAGTCGACCTTAAGTGTGTGTTCGAGGGTGTTCACGTTCACACTGGGTGAGCAGTGAAACAACTCATAGCACATTTTTACCAGTATGTATAAAAAAAGGGGCTACACAGTTCATTGGATCTGGCAGTAAAAAAAAAAAACTCAAATTAAAGCTTAAAGTCAACACTATAAAGTTTGTCAGATTTCCAATTTACTGGACTACGGAGTCCAAATAAAACTGTCAGAATGCTAATGAACTGTATGAGGCCACTGCCAGCCCCTTTCAAAGAAAACTAGGCACTGTGACAGCAACTCGAACGGAAAAATATGCCTCTTTAAGTCAAAGACCGACCTTTTCCGAGGCTCAACGGGCAGTGGAATTCCAGCGATGGTGTCTTTGGGACCGGAGCCAAGTCCCAGCATCGCTGCCAGTTTACCAGAAAAGGCTCCTGCTGCATTCACCACAATGGCACATTCCACCGGCTGGTACACCAGGCTGTTTGGCATCTGCACCTGCTCACACACAAGACGTTATCCCATCGTGTGCGACAATATGCTGCCGTGTCAGTAACACAAAGGAGTTGCTCGAGTAGTATAATTACTAAAAATACTCCATTACAAGTCAAATACCAGCGACTAAAAGTGGTTGAACCACGACTGCTCCAGTTGTCATGGTGGTAAGCTAGATTGATATTGGAATATATCGATAAATTAGGCGTCTACTTGATTACTGTGGCGCAAAATGTGTGCATTAATAAGGAAAAATAATGCTGCGCTACTTAGAAAATACTTTAAAAGTAATGTAACGACCACAAAACGGTAAATATAATAATTACTTCAACCATTATTGTTGTTATTTAAACTACACTATCATAGAATTACATTAAAATCAGCATCCTGTATGTTTTGTATGTAAAATCTTTAATTTGTAAAGTGACTAGTGAGTAAAAAGTACAATATTTCCTTCTAGTATAAAGCATTAAAGGGTAATACTCAAGTACAAGTACCTCAAAATTGTACTTAGTTACTTTCCACCCCTGCAGTCCTACTTACTTTGACAGATTTTATTCTTGTGCGATCCAGCTGTTCGCCATCAGCGGTGATCGCCACGTTTGTCGTGTGTTTAAAATCTGAAGAAGACAGAAACAGCAACATTAATAAATCAGCCAGCAGACAGATCAATGAACTCATTCTGCATTCACACTGCGCAGTAACTCAATGTGTGTCCACTTATTTTAACGTCCTCCTGGATCCACATTGTTCACATACGTTTTATAATCTTAATAAATCAGAAATTGGGTCATTTATTGCAAGTCTGTCCGTCCCTGTGACTCTTCTTGAGGTTTATTCCATTTTTTTCCACATTAAAAAGGCTTTTTTGGAGGATTTTGGGGCTTTTTAGATAAAAAAAAAAAGGACTTGACAATTAAATACAATTAAAATTAATTGACAATTAAAATTAGTTAACATAAACTGCTTAATCAAACTGAGAGGTGAGTTTTCCTGATAATTTTAGGAGCTTTTAATACAATTATCTGTCTGTATTATGTATTTTCTTTATTTTTTAACAATCATACAAACTTAATAGGCTCATTTATTCTCCCAAATACTCAGCCACTTGTTCTATTAGCTCTTCGGTTGTTTTAACTGCGTACTTATGAGGCTTGTGTTCAGGTTTTCCAAGTCTTAAATAATAATAATTACACATAATTTAGTTCTCATCACTGTGTTTATTCTGCAACAGTGAGTGTTACGTCAGGACGCCATAACAAACCTGTAACTTCTCCATAGCACTGAATGACTCCCATAGAGATGGCTTTCCTTCTGAAGGCGTTCAGCAGGGTCCAGGGGTCAAACCAGCCCTCGTTCTCCAACCCTGGAAGGCAGGTTGATACGTTACATTTT